GTAATGTTTAAAGGCCGACAATGAGGACTTGACGGGGTTTCAAAGTCCGCGCAATTAGTTCCAGTCCGAGGCGCTAGCCGAGGACTGGAACTAATTGCAAGGACTTTGAAATCCCGTCAAGTCCGAATTGGAGGCCTTTGAACGACTTCAAAAACTCATTAATTATTCGGGAGGGAAAAAAAGCGAAGGAAATACATATAACAGAAATATATTGATTTATTGCATCTCCACTAAGGTTTTCAGTTTTCATAATTTTGAATGCATGAAGCACCGTTTGTTGTTCTTCAATTCCCGGACGGCTTTCTGAAACAAAAGCTATTCAAATTGTCTTTGTCTGCTATTCATGGCATTCCTAATGAGTCTAATCCATAAGATTTATAAGTATGTTATCTTCCGAGGAATCGCATCAGAAACTCGGTGGCGTAATGGTATAAGACGGCGCATATAGACTGGACGGTAGGGGATCGAGTCGTGAGGGAGTCATGTATCAAAGACCTTTTTTCACTAAATTAATGTTAAACTGATTATTTCTAATAATTTGATTATCATTAGCTAGTAGTAGTTGGAAACATGGTAGAAGTAACTGGAAATAAGGTAGAAGTAACTGGAAATAATGTAGAAGTAACTTGAAAAAGGTAGAAGTAACTGGAAATAAGGTAGAATACAAGGTACGAGTACTTGCTCTGGTTTCAAGTTACTTCACGTGGTACAAATTACAAACAGGGATTGGCTGAATACCTCATGAATAATTAATGAGTTTTTGCATTGTTTCTGATGAGGATTTCTGAAAACCTAACTTTAGAAAGCGATTTGGAAATCATAAGTAACAAAATCGTAAATTTTTAAATTGAATGAAAAAAGTCGTAGAAGAGAATTAGTAATGGAACCTGATGGTTTGCAAGTGGGACAGCGCATCATGCACGGATTAAAAAAAAATGTTTGAAATGACCGTAACGCGGAGGCCCAAAAGAAAGTCTGGAGTTTCCTTGTTTTGGCTCATGGCGCGCTTTTCAATTCGACGACAATGTATAATTACTTGAGCACCTGAAAAAAACGCCCATTGCTATTTCGCCGATGATTGCTATCATTAACGTTAATTATTATGATATTATTTTAGATTCCAATCCTTCTTGGTTGTTTGCTGTGAATAGATCGACTGGTCAAATTACCCTAAATGGAACGCTGAACAGAGAGGAAAAGAACGAGTACACCTTTCTTGTTTTGGTAATAACTATCATTGCGATTTTTCATTTTTCAATGCCTTACCGATCTAAGAATGCCATGTCTTTGAGTCAATCGATTGGCTTATACAGCTATTTCAAAAATCATGGCGAATGGCTGATGTGGAACGGAGAATGCACGACCGAAATTAGCCATGGGGTTTGTTAATTGGTGAGAAATAACAACTGATTTATACTCTAAGARAGTCTGTAGTTTTATTTAGACTCCATTTATATGCAAGCTAAACCCAATATGTAAAATTTTGTTTGTCAAAACAGCGCAACCATGGTCCCTTTCGGTCGTGCAATCTCCATCCACATCAACAGTCGCCATTTTATTCGAAAACCTTTTTTGAAATAGCTGTATATGATATATATTGATATATATAAAATACACAGCAATATGCAGAAATTATGATCGTTTTGAGACATAATTATATTCCAAGTATTTATACAATATATCATAAATTGTGAGATATCATCGCTGATGTGATTTTTTGAAGTTGTCTAGCGATAGTTCTGAACAAAAAAATATTGATATCCAATAATTTCTGTATATTTTAAACTGTCTAGAGCATGTAAAATAACTAAACACTTTCTTACAGGCTACTTCGTCTTTCMCATTTTCCGACCATGCTACTGTCACTATCCAAGTAACTGATGTCAATGACAATAAACCAGTTTTTACACAATCTAATTACAACGTCACCGTCAATGAGAATATGAACCCAGGTGCACTGGTAGTGCAGTTAAAAGCCACAGATGTTGACCAGGTAAAAATTAAACAAACGGCAGAAAAAGCCGAAGCAAGATTGATCGACTGCTAATCTACATATGACCGAATTTCCTCGCAGCCTCTTAGTGGCGAGGAGACTAAATTTCCCGGTTTTCGCAGTACTAATAATTAGACTGAAATGCGAATGCAGCCTACTACTGGAAAAGAAGCCAGAAAAAATCTGACTTTGAACGCGGGATTCGAAGCTTCTTTTCCAGTAGTAGGCTGCATTCGCATTTCAATTTATTCTCCCCAACTACTGAAGGACATACATATATATTAATAATTAGACATTTTCGTAAGTTG